TTGTTCTTAGTCCCCAACTGGCCGCTCCCAATTATGTTTATTTGACAAAACATACTCTGTACATGTATATATACTTCTCATCATTTGGTTGTAGTCACTTTTAGCTTGATAACGGTGTAAGAATTTACATCGAAACGTCGCTCTATACAATAAAGAAGAAGTTGTCATCCATAGAGTTGTATGTTTCATTTTGGACTCACCAACTTCTAGAATGCTGTTCAAATAATGTGTTATTTGGATATGACATGTAACTACTATAACTGTGACACATATATCTGATATGATGATGTTTAGCAATTATTGGTTGTAAAGATGAATAATAGAGAGAGTTGTATATGGAAACAGGAGTGTAACTGACAAACACATTATGTTAATAAAGTAAACACAATAAATTTAAATAATTTAAAATGAAATGAGATTTATCAAAGTGGTTAAAACAGGCTACCTAAAGAAAAGAGTCAATTAAATCTTTTATCTACTTAAGCAATTGCCTTTCAATACAGTATGTGTCAGTTTCTTTAGCCTAAATGATGATTTAAACCAATTATTTCACAATATATTCGCAATTCAGTATCACAGAAATAACAATGCATATTTACCAGTTGAAGGCCTCCAGAAATGTAGTGTCGTCTGCTCTTTGAATATCAGGTAAAGCTATCAATGATGACAAGTTTGGTATTCAGTTTGGAGAAAACAATGCTGTAAACTTCACTGCATCATAGTTGAAAGACAGGGAAATGGATTCATTCTTTTTGTCTGTGTAATTATTTCAACTGTCATCAAAATCTTTATAAGAAAACATGGCTATAAATGGCCGTGTGCTCACTCTTTTTATTCACAATGTTGGGCCAACGGTGGCCCAACTTTGTGAAATAGATGTAAGATCAGGGCAAATAGGCAGAGTTTTTCAAATGTTGGCCCACCGTTGGACCAACGTGTCAAAAGCCACCGTTACTTTTAAGTCATTAAGATAACGTTGGGCCAATGTTGTCAAACTGTTGGCCAACCAACCAACCATATACCAACATTGGCCCAACACACCTTTGCTATCTGGGAAGTGATTAAATATCAGAACACAACAAATAATCTTATCAATCAGTCTTTCAACAACATATGTCGTATTTTACTTCGTGAAAAACAGTATACGTCTGACTGTTCAGGGGAATTCCCCTCAAACGAAGTTTCAAGGACTTTCAAGCGGAGAAAAGTACCCCCGTGACTAGAAACAATAACAGTTTGACTTGTATTCGTACTGCCACCGTGAAACATGGCCATATCGTATTACAATCTCGTGCAAGTCGTGCCGGAAATGTCTTTCTTGTTACCCGTGGCGGAGTAGCGTGACACGCACGATTTGCACGTGTGCACAAGAAGTGTCACTCTTTGATTTGATATGTGTCGTGGCATCAATTTCAAGTCTGTAAAGAAAAACGATAGCATGTTGATTTGATGAGATGATGTGATGTCGTGAGTTGGTGGGTTTCATAACTGTTGCACTTATATCGACACGTGTATGCACAGGTGTGCGTGCGTGCGTGCGTGCGTGCATGCGTGCGTGCGTGCGTGCGTACATGCTTGCTTGCTTATGTGCCTGTCTGCTCTACATGTATAACCTTCTATTCAGATATGATACGAACTGTCGAGCAGAAACACACGCACACGCGAAGTGAGGTCCCATCTGATTTAACCTCACCAAAAAACGAAGCTAAAATTAATGTCCCGTTATAAGCCTCATGGTTTTATTCTACATTCCGGGACGGCGAGGTAGCCTAGTGGTTAAAGCGTTCGCTCGTCACGCCGAAGACCCGGGTTCGGTTCCCCACGTGGGTACAATGTGTGAAGCCCATTTCTGGTTTCCCCTGCCGTGATGTTGCTGGAATATTGCTAAAAACGGCGTAAAACCAAACTCACTCACTATTCTACATTCCAGTTTCAACACTATAGTCACTCTAAAGTCACTTGCTACTTCAGATCTTCCAGTCTTTGGATAACGATCGATGACTTCCTTAAAGTCACACGTGGCCCACAGAGCATACGTGACGCGACATGACAGGGTGATTGACGATTGTTTTAATTACATCTGATATCGCCATGCTGACTAACGCCCCTTCTCTGTTTACAAATACACAGAAACTATTGTCAATTGCCCTGACATTCGCATGTATTTCCGCCTGCCCTTTGATGTGGCTTGAGTTGTGTGGTGTTAATTGCAGTAGTCGCTGTGCGCCGTCAATCAGATAGCGTCGCTTAGCAACGCAAGGCAATACGTTTCCATTAGCTGCTGTTACAGTGTCCTCGTATCCGTTCCACAGTTGATGTCATTTTTCTAAATTGTACTGTCAAAGATGTGACGTTAAATATTAACTCACTCACTCACTATAGCTACTGTCAAGACGGTTGTGTCGAAGTTGAAGGGATCTTCGAAATACATCGAGTTATCCGCGGTTCGAAACAACAGCAAAGTGATAAAATATGTAAGGACATAGCTTTGACTTCGTAATAACCGTAGGTTCGACACATCGAAGTTCGACACAACGATGTTTGACAGGTTGTGGAACTACGGATCGTCCCGTTAGAAAATCCAGTAGAATCTAACAAACTAAAGGCTATAACGAATTCTCTTTGGCTTTTTTGTGTGTGTGTTATTTGTTTGTTTTTGATTTTGTGTTTAATTTGTTTGGGTTTTTTTGGTTTTTTTAATAGTTTTTTGGTTTGGTTTTGTGTATGTGTGAGCTTAGTGGGTTTTGGGGTTGGGTTTTTGTTGTTTTGTTGTTGTTGTTTTTAGGGGGTTCTAATGTGTGTTTTTGGGTTTTTGGTTTTTGGTTTTTCTTTTGAGTAGGGGAGGCTGTTAATTCGAAATGCGGATAGCGAAGTACGTCTATAAGAAACTAAATTTAGTGGTTTCCTTGACTACAATCTATCCGTAGTTTCCTAAACTTCTCACTTCCTACATCACTAACCTAATACACATACTACGTTTAAAACGAACTCAAGGATATAACGAAATATGTGTGTGTGTTTTGTGTTGTTGTTTGTTTTGTTGTTGTTGTGTGTTGTTGTTGTGTGTGTGTGTGTGTGTGTGTGTGTGTGTGTGTGTGTGTGTGTGTGTGTGTGTGTGTGTGTGTGTGTGTGTGTGTGTGTGTGTGTGTGTGTGTGTGTGTGTGTGTGTGTGTGTGTTGTGTGATCCCAGTCACTTGGTGCTTAGTTCAGTTTGAATTTAGTTTGATTGCGTCAAACGAAGTACGGTTAATGCCAACAAAAATTAGTGGTCCCTTGAGTTCGTTAGTTTACTGCACCTTCCGTCGCTGGGAAATAGCTTTGTCATTTTGGAAAATACGAAGCTCGCACTAACAAATCATTTTGATCTGGTTAAAAGTCACAATGATATTCAAGCTTAGACATAATCGAAGCTCAGAACAACAGATAGCTGTCGCTGACTGATGACATCCAATGCAAGTGTCACGTGTGCATATTTGGCGAGTGGATGGACCAGTTAGCGAATGGATCACACTCTCCTACCCAGAGTTCCATGCGGCAAGCCAACATATATTAGTACCTCTGCCACAGGCCAGAAAAATGAGACGATTCGTCACATCTTGCAATGTCCATTCAACATAATGTACAGATTTCTTTTACTCTTTTATTTTTGACGAGTCTACACATCTAACTAAACATCTTTAATAGAATGGTTTAGTTTCACTGAGAAAATATCCAACAAGTTGTAACACTATTTCGATTTGCGTAGCGATCCTTTGTTTACATAGGTTGTACGGCTCCACGTGCTGTCATCGAAGCCGACGGAGAGCAAACGATGCAGCCAGTTTGATATCTAAATATGTACTGTCATAGACCTAACTGTCGCAGTTGTGGAAGAATATATATGTAACAATGTAAAACATTATGAAGGGCGCCGAAAAGCTTTCGTGAGTCCAGTCTCTTCTTATTATGAATATGCACGTTTGATTACAAACAAGAGAAATAGTCCGGTCACGTGATATGCAAATTAGCCTGTGGCAGTGATGTTATGTTAAGTCATCGCTGTGCCGGGGTGTGAATGGATCAGTGAATGTATGAACCATGGGGGCGTGGTGGGCGAGCTGGCTAAGGTGTCGGGATCGAGCCCACCTGTGACCAGGTGTAAAAAACCTTGGAGTCAACGGGCCTCTGTGTGCAGACTCTTTCAGTGTTGTCACAACCTCTAGTGTACAGTACACAACCCTGTGCACTTAAAAGAACCCACGAATCCGTTGGTAAATGACCTGATGGTGGCCACATGAATACGTGCAAACACCTAGTTGCGGGTACAGCAACGTGCAGTAAACTTGGACAAAGTTGTGTCTATGTGTCCCAGTCCACCCAGCTGTGAATTGGTACCTCGTAAGGATGGGAGAGCCACAATAATTCGGTGCGCCTTTTGGCTGCAAGAGTTGCATACTCCCCAGGGAGTTGAGATTGATAATACGATATGCCGTTGACATTGACGCCCAAAGAAAAAATACCAGCGCCTTGAGCATGTACTAGTTGCGTGGATATGTGCGCTATATAAATATCCTATAGTAAAAACCAGTGAATGGACAAGTGAATAGACAAGTGAATGGATGGAGCAGTGAATGAATGTACCAACGACTTCAGCTAATAAACGGTATTCATCTTTCACAATGAAACATTTGATAATAGTGAAAAAAGACTACAGCTCGATCCCTCAGCAATGACACCTTAATTAAAGGACATTCCATATTTCAGTGTCCGCTGCTCTTTTGGGAGTAGTGACGTCAGCAGTGACGTAATGTGAACGTTTTTCCTTTCAGCGTTCGCAGCTCTGCTGGTAGTAGTGACGTCACCAGTGACGTAATGTGAACAGTTTCCTTTCAGCGTTCGCAGCTCTGCTGGGAGTAGTGACGTCATAAGTGACGTAATGTGAACATTTTCCTTTCAGCGTTCGCTGCTCTGCTGGGAGAAGTGACGTCACCAGTGACGTAATGTGAACATTTTCCTTTCAGCGTTCGCTGCTCTGCTGGGAGTAGTGACGTCAAGCGACAAGGACGGATGTGACGTCGACATTAAATATGACCCCTACCACCCGTGCCCCCGGAGCTACTTCCCCGTATGTGGGTCAGACTCACGGACCTACTCGAATGACTGTGTGTTCTGTCAGGCCAAACGAACCCAGATGAACAGAGGTTTACCGGGTATGACGCTCTTCCATACAGGTACGTATTGCCGGGGAAGCTTGCTGGAGTGTACTCGCCCTTACGTTTCCATAAACAAGACCAAGATCGGGTGGGGTGGGGTGGGGAGGGATTGGGGTGGGGTGGGGTGGGGTGGGGTGAGGTGAGGTGAGGTGAGGTGAGGTGAGGTGAGGTGAGGTGAGGTGAGGTTTAACGTCGTACTTGAGAATATTTCGCTCATATGACGACGTGCATGCGTGTTAATGTGTATGTGCGGCTGCTTGTACTAGCCCAGACTTAAGCTGGTTTTATAGTGCTAGCGCACTGAGATACCATGCCGCAGTGAAGCATGAATACCCGACATTATACTGACTCCGAGCCAACCAGTCCTTGTTGTACCCATTCATGCCGAGCGCCAGGCAGGGACCAACAAGTACCATATTTTAACGTCTTTTGGTCTGACGTGGTCGGGGATCGAACCCGCGACCTCCCGCTCTCCGGGCGGACGCTCTAACCACTACACCACGGAGGCGGTTAGATCAAGATCGGGGTTAGAACTGGTTTTCAGTAACCCATGTTTGTCGTAACAGGCGACTAACGGGATCGGATGGTCAAGCTCGCTGACTTGGTTGACACATGTCATCGCATCCCAATTGCGTAGGTCGATGTTAATGCTGTTGATCACTGGATTGTCTGACCCTGACTTATTTATTTACAAATCGCCACCATATCGCTGGAATATTGCTGAGTGCGGCGTAAAACTAAACTCACTCACTCACTCACTCATTCAACATCTAACATCACCCTCTGTACATCAACAGTAATTCGCGTATCTCTTCAGGCGACGTATTTTCACTATTCTACTTTTTGAAAGGTAACTGTGACAGCACGGATCGGCCAACAACACGACGCCCAACGACAACACGACGCCCTACGACAACACGACTCCCCACCCCGTCCGCATCCTCTAGAGACTACCTCTCTAGGTTCCAGGCCCTGCTGCGCTACTTCGAGTCCATGAGGAACCCCTGGCTGAAGCGGAAAGGGCGCTCGGTCGACAGATCGGCGGGGGATCGGCAGCGACCGGCACTGTATCACTAGCGACACCCACAGGAGGAGAACAAGGTAACACGTGAAGGTGCTGATGTCATGAGTCTGTCTCACAGTCCCTGAACCCCATTTTACCATTCTGTCCATCCATTTCTGCAATGCTTAAGCCCTAAATGAAGCAAGTCCAGATTTCCTCAGAATCCCCCTCCTCACTAGGGCTCCTTTTCAATTTAAAAAGAATTCTTTGCCTCTGTCAATATAGGGGCGGTGGGGTAGCCTAGTGGTTAACGCGTCCGCTCATCACGCCGAAGGCCCAGGTTCGATTCCCCACATGGGTGTGAAGCCCATGTGTGAAGCTCATTTCTGGTGTTCCCCCGCCGTGATGTTGCTGGAATATTGCTAAACCCAACTCTCTCTCTCTCTCTCTCTCTCTCTCTCTCTCTCTATATATATATATATATATATATATATATATATATATATATATAAGAAGAAGTTTCTGAAATAATCACACGACACGGATCTTCTCCAACATGTTTCACTTTTATCTTCAGGGAGAAGTGTCCAGGTATCTTCTCCCTGAAGATAAAAGTGAAACATGTTGGAGAAGATCCGTGTCGTGTGATTATTTCAGAAACTTCTTCTTATATATGTACTTATGTACTACTGTACGCTCGGTATTCTCATCACTTTCTTTATATATATATTTAGAGACTACCTACTGCCATGGCGGGGCGGTGGGGTAGCCTAATGCTTAAAGCATACGTTGAAGTCCCGGATTCGATTCCCTATATGGTACAATGTGTGAAGCCCATTTCTAGTGTCCCCCACCGTGATATTGCTGCAACATTGCTGGAATATTGCTGAAAGTAAAAACTATACAGACCCACTCAGTACCATTGCAATGTAGTAGAAGGGTACCCCCTGGCAGAACAGGGTCGTCTCGGTTACCCTTGTGCTCATAATCTGAATCATTGGATGGTCTGATCCAGATTTGACATTATCAGGCAGCCGCCATAAAGCTGAAATATTGTTTAAACAACAAACACACGAGCGCACAAACAAACATTAGCAGTTCCGTTATAGATTTGTATTGCCTCGTTTTCTTCCTTAATTAAGGATAATATTATGTAACCCGTGAAGATCCGGGTAGGAATTGCTGTTCAGTAACTCATGCTTGTAAGAGGCGACTAACGGGATCGGGTAGTCAGGCTCGCTGACTTGGTTAACGCATGTTATCGTATCACAGTTGCGTAGATCGATGCACATGTCGTTGATCACTGGATTGTCAGGTCCAGACTCGATTATTTACAGACCGCCGACATATTCCTGGGATATTGCTGGGTGCGGCGTAAAACTAAACTCACTCACTCATCCTACTTCTTGTTCTTTTCAGATTTTGGAGCCAAATCAGAGCACAAGTACAGGAAGTCTCACCGCGAGTTGTTTGAAAACAGCCATTGTACCTTGCCATAATTCATTTCAATCTAAAAGTACAATATTTCTGGAATACCCAGCTTGATCGACAAGCACATTCAACGGCGCTGAAATATATGCGTTTGCAAAGTAACTTTCAGCCCTTTCAATAAAGTTTTGGATTACATTTTCGTTCCTTTTTCAATGATGATTAGGACCCAACAAGTTCCAATATTAGTGTCAGTAAAAGCCGTCACATTAAATTGACTTGTGGAAAATGATGTCTGTGAAGACTGCATCTTTGAGCGGTGGGTTAGGCCATAGGCGCCCGATTCTGATATATTTATAACTATGACCTATATATATAAGATATAAGAAAGGTGTGTCAGTAAATCGAAACAAAAAGGCGGCCCGGCTCGGCTCGGTTCGGTTTCGTTCTGACAAACACTTCCATCGCTTTGACTGTTGAATAAACTGCACAATTTATACTCAGTTGACCCCTGTCAAGTACCTTGCGTATCACAAACCTGGTGATTTTATTCCCATTTAAAGCTTTCAATAATTTTGCCGTCCATTCTCGAACGAAGTCAGGACATATGCCCGGAAGTAAACAAATCTCAGGCTACAGACACGCACCGAATAGTAGAGCGAGTCTCTGATTGGTGAAATTTCCCACCTCTTTTCACGTGCAACTATATCATCCAATCGGAGACTCGCTCCATACCATACTCACTCGTCGTCGGGCAGAGTACGATCCGCGAGCAGCGGAAGAAACCATTACTACTGACCAGGGGAGTGAGGTTGTGTGTGAGTTACTGCATGTGAAGGTTGCTGCACAAGCTGGCTTTATCTCCCATGGACTCATCTTCCACAGTATCCATGTAGGGAATCGAACGTGACGAGCAAACGCTTCAACCAGTAGGCTACTCCTCCGCAATTCAGGGTGACTGAGTGGATTTTAGTTGACGCCGCTTTTTGCAATATTCCAGCAATATCACGGCGGGAGAAACCAGAAATGAGCTCCACACATTTTACTCATGTGGGGAATCGAACCCATGTCTTCAGCATGACGAGCTAACGCATTAACCACTAAGCTACCCCACCGCCCCGTGTTTCAAGGACTGACTGACTGAGTTTGGTTTTACGCCACTTTTAGCAATATTCCAGCAACATCACGGCGGGGGACACCAGAAATGGGCTTCACACATTGTACCCATGTGGGGATTCGAACCCGGGTCTTCAGCATGACGAGCTAACGCTTTAACCACTGGGCTACCACACCGTCCCGTGTTTCAAGGAACGTGGGAGTCGAAATACAGAGAAATGAGCAAAATGAAGAGTTGATGTTCCAACTCACAAGGGCGGTAGGGTAGCCGAGCCAGCAAGGCCAGTCTTCAAACCAACAAAGAACCGAAAATGTTTAAGGAACATTATGTCTATAAGTTTGTTTAAAGATATTCACGGACACAATCTTTAACTGTGAGAACGGGTAACCCGTGCTTGTCGTAAGAGGAGACTAATGGGGTAGGGTGGTCAGGCTCGCTGACTTGGTTGACACATGTCATCGGTTCCCAATTGCGTAGATCGATGTTCATTCTGTTGATCACTGGATTGTCTGGTCCGGAGTCAATTATTTACAGACCGCCGCCATATTGCTGTAATATTGCCGAGTGTGCGTAAAACTAAACTCGCTCACTCCAGCGTGAATTATGTCCCTTTGTTTTTCACACGTGCAAATTGCATAGAAAGGGGCATACTGCACATCGACAGGAGTGTGTGTGTGTGTTTAATTTTACGCACCCGTGAAGGTCCGGGTTAGAATATTGTTCTTCAGTAACCCATGCTTGTTGTAGGAGGCGACTAACGGGATCGGGTGGTCAGGCTCGCTGGCTTGGTTGACACATGTCATCGGTTCCCCATTGCGTAGATCGATGCTCATCATGTTGATCACTGGATTGTCTGGTCCAGACTCGATTATTTACAGACCGCCGCCATATAGCTCACTCACTCACTCATTTTTAATTTTACGCCGCTTATAGCAATATTCCAGCAATATCACGTCGGGGGACACTAGAAATGAGCTTCACATATTGAACCCATGTGGGGAATCGAACCCGGGTCTTCAGCGTGACAAGCAAACGCTTTAACCACTAGGCTACCCCACCGCCCCTTGACAGGAGTGACTACACTAGAATGATTTTACGCAATACTCCGGCAATGTCACGGCGAGGAACACCAGAAATAGACTTCACACATATATATATATACTTGGGGAATCGAACCCGGTTCTTCGGTGTCTCGAACGAACACGTTAACAGCTACGCTACCCTATTGACCCCAGAGTAATCGAATTATGGTCAGTGCGTACAATGATACGGGTTTACGTTGTCTTGACATGGCAACCATGTTGGGAATCGAACACGATCGCAAATCAGTTGACACTGAAATATATAGTGGTGTTTTTTACACCACTTTGAGCCTCACCACCACATCGGCAACATTTACAACGTGAACGAAGTTCAGTGTTGAAAAAATAAGAAATGCGAAAAACACTCGAATTCGACACAACTGAACACAGCGAACATGACTGAAAAATAAAATTGAAATAAAAATACACAAAATAAAATTACGAGATGTCTTGAAAAAAAATATTTTAAAATAAAATGAATGTCCTTTATATTTTTACACATATTTATTACATCATCTGATTTACAAAGACGATTGACGATATGTATACATGTTACTGTGCCGTTTATATGGAGTGGTTCAAGAGATATGACATACAAAGCCCTATCGGTATATGGTATATGTATAAAGACAAGCAACAACATGTCTATTGCGATTCTGATAATTATCCTAACAATCGTAGCACCAATGCACAGATCCTACGATCTGCAAATAAATACGATTATGAAAACGACACACATCAATAGGAAGCAACCATTTGGTTTTCAGGGGGGTAGGGAAAGATCAACTCAAGCCTTTTATTTCTGAAATCTTACATACGCTCGCAGAAAAGTGTCACAAAATATAGCTCGGGTTTTATATTCACTTAAAAAATGTTTGGGCACCCATCAATTTGGAGACAATATACTTGAGCATTAAAAAATGCGCATGCCAAACCAAAATTCCCCCAGACCCTGAAATCAAATGCTGCCCCCTTAAACTTCATACAGCGGACCGTAATCCATCTCAAAGAACCCCCCTGTGCAAAGGAAAGTGCACAAGAAAGTGAAACTTGTCGAAGAAAGGTTTGCGAGTTGCAGGATGCTTCGTCTTAACGACGTTCACAATTAAGTACTTGTACCATAGATGATAATCTCACCAAAGAGAAGTTTGTTTATAATGAATGTTAGCCATTAAAAATGAATTATTTTATATAGTGGTTGTGCTGCTACCAACTGACTGAAAAACTGCACAACGCAATAGAAAGGAAACAAAATCATAATTATCATAAAATCCCCGGATTCACAAAGACAGCAGAGTACAGGACGGGCAAATAGACATTGTAAACATGTTTGTAAAATGAAAATTGAAATCCGCCTTTTCTATGTACATTATAAAGAGATTGCCAATTCGCATTCGTTGAAATTATGTCATTTTGGGCGTTGTTGGTGACGCCATGGTGATGACGTCATTTTCGAGTCCCCGGATGTAGCCTTGGTTGACAGAGTTGGGTCGCCAAAGAGATAGTTTCCCATTTCCGCTGGATCGTCGCTCACGAGGAACCGAAACCAGAACTGTCTGAAATGGTCCCTGTTCAACTTTTCTCCGTTCAGCTGAAACAATTCATTGTTGTGAAATGACGATCTGTGTCGAACAGTGTAATTATCAAATATGTAAAACATCAACGCCATGGAATGGTCCCTCTCTAATATTCCACAGCGGTAAAAGTTGAAATAGTAGTTAAAATCATAAGAATCGTACTTTTCTACAAGAAGCACCATACATTCACATAATTTCCATAAAAACTTAGCGGTTGTTGTCTATCGCCGCGCGTCAATATGCGATCAATCTAATCTTGGCCAAACAATCAGTGACGTGACAGCAAGTCTGATACTTGTTGCACGGGACATGTTTTGCACGAGCTGAAAACGTGCAGGGCAGCGATGACAGCAAGTTTGACACTTGTTGCACGGGACATGATTTGCACGAGCCAAAAACGTGCAGGGTGGTGATAAAGCTCAGTCGACTTATCAGAAAGGGGTGTAAAGCAGCGGATCGCTTCCGGTTGAGTGAGGTGAGTGAACCATTCTGACAGCTGAATGAACGCCATTCAGCACACTTTATGTAACTAGTTCCTTTGAGTTATTTAGCACGCCAACTTCAGGAAACCTGTTACAGCTACCTTTTGAAGCGCCCATAAAATATTTCAATCTACATTGCATTGCAAGTTTCAGAATACTTTTTTTCATCCATAAAAACCACAGAATAATCAAGGGTCGGATTTGTTGGTGTGTCTTTACACAGAAGCAGAACGCAATAAAAAACATCTTACGGCAGATAACATATCCAGGTGTATTTGAATATCCTAAATTTCACCAGGTCTATTTCAGCTTCATATCCACGAGACCAAGTTTATGCAGATAGTTTCATTGAATACAGGTGCGGTGGGGTAGCTTGGAGGTTTTTTCGGCAAGCCGAAGACCCGGGGTTCGATTCCCCACATGTACAAGTGTGAAGACCATTTCTTGTGTCCCCGGTCGTGATATTGCTGGAATATTGCTAAAAGCGGCGAAAAAAAACATTCTCACTCACTCACTTCAGTGCGTACAGGAAGGGTTGGAGGGGAAATAGGATTGCTTAACTTATAATTATTTCCAGCTCAACTGAAGCTGAACCTACCGCCGTGGAGAGTTTGCTGTAAGCCTGCAGACAGACGTCTTCGGGGACGCTGAACTGTGTCAAGCTGCTGACGTAGTCATCCTTGTCGATGACGCTGTCGCCTGAAATTCATATTCGCAGGTGTCCGTTATACCGAGACCCTTGTTAGGCTGAGGGGGGAAGGGTTGAGTGGACCCCTTTTGAAGCATACAATCATGTAGGCGTTTGGCACTAACCATGCAGCTTAATCAACAGGTAATCATAGTTTCAACAAGAACAACAATAGCTGGAATATTACTGAGTGCGGTTTTCTCCACCGTGAGTCAGCGAGTTAGTGAGTTTACTTTTACGCCACTCAGCAATATTCCAGCTATATGGCGACGGTCTGTAAATAATCGAGTCTGGACCAGACAATCCAGTGATCAATAGCATGAGCATCGATCTACGCAATTGGGATACGATGACATGGGTCAGCAAAGGCACCAAGTCAGCGAGCCTGACCACCCGATCCCGTTAGTCGCCTTTTACGACAAGCATGGTTTCTGAAGATCAATTTTAATCCGGATCTTCACGGGTCACCCCCACCGTAATATGGCTGGAATATTGCTAAACGCAGCGGGTATACTCACTCATTCAATCCTCGCAACGTACATTGCACTTTTTCCATCGACGGTTCACGTTAATGGGGAATTATTGATCGAAACAAAAAGCGGTGACGTTTTTGTCAGCGCCGCCATTTTCTTTTCAAAAACCTTATTGGATTGTGTTTTCGTTCTGGAATCCCAATCCAAGTGCTCTTTGAGTAAATTAAAGTTTACATATTTCGTGATTTAGTGATAGTGGGTATTTTACGACTTCAAGCCAATCGGCCACGTGGTGAAATAGACAACTCACTATTGATGTCCATGACATCGAACACGAAGTCCACGAACTCCACGTGCCAGTCATACACCGCGTGATCGTCGATGGAGGAGGCCGGCCAGTCATGTGACTTCAATGCGGCCTTCACAAAGTCGCTCCAATACGACAACCATTCCGGTAGACTTAGCTGAAAAAGAAAAGAAAGCTCTCATATGCAGATTCTATAAATTTCCGTAAATAATAAATTTCTAGGAGTGAGTGAATTTGGTGTAGCATGTCATCAGATATGTCAATATCTTCGGGGCGGTGGGGTAGCCTAGTGTTAAAGCGTTGGCTCGTCACGCCGAAGACCCGGGTTCGATTCCCCACATGGGTACGATGTGTGAAGCCCATTCTGGTGTCCCCCCGCCGCGATGTTGCTGGAATATTGCTAAAAGCGGCGTAAAACCATACTCACTCACTCACTTACTCAATGCGTTCGCTCGATTATTATGATTTACGTGACCAGAGTCAACCGAGTCAACTCATGTCCGCCAACCATGGTTGACTGTATTCATTCGAAATAGTTTGACATTGTACCCCAAATTCAACGTTTAAAGCGAAACCTTAGACATTCAGTCAAACACCGTTCTTTGGAAGTTGAAATAATTTATTTGCGTAAATAATTCGACATATCCAAAGTTCGAGACAAAAGAAAATTGATAGAGTGATCCAAAATGGCGGAGAAGAAGAAAAAAGACACTTGTATTGTTGCACCACACAAAGAGGTTCACAATTGTTTGATTGTTTGACAAAGCTGCCATTATTCCTATTTATGTGTAATGCATATGTAAGGAAACGTTTAAGCATAACGAGTAGAACGTAAAACAGAAATGCAAGTCATCATGATGCTGCAATTTTGCTTTGAAGTATTTACCTAAACTATCGAAAGTTAAATTCCCTGGCGCATATCAGAATATATATTTAACGTCAATCTCTAGATGATAATATTACTTTACTTATATTCATTATGGGATCAACAAATAAAACTAATTAGCATCACTTTAGTCTACACACTCGAGAACACACACACACACACACACACACACACACACACCCACCCCACCCCCACCCCAGGTTCAGTAGTATGGGAGACTCATGTCAACAGACGCATGACGTTTAAGTCATTCACATGACTGTGCTGAAAATTGTCAGCTAACATTTACTTTGGTTTCACGGTCAACAAGGGGTCATGGAGGTCGTCCATGGTTTTGAAATCGAAGGCCCATGCTTATATTAGGACTTGGCAGGTCAGAAGAAAGCATTGGGAGTGAGTGAGTATGGTTTTACGCCGCCTTTAGCAATAGTCCATATCACGGGGGGAGAAGCAAGAAAGGGGCGTCACACATTGTACCCATCTGGGGAATCAAACCCGGGTCTTCGGGGTAACGAGCGAGCGGTTTAACCACTAGGCTACCCCACCGCCCCAGGAAAGCATTGAGCTGGGCGACCATTGCCTCTTTCATGAAAGAAGGAACCTACTGATCAATGTGTAGTTTCCCTGGAGAAATTCCAGAGCACTGTTACTATGGTGATGGAATGATCATAAGGGACACTAGTTAATCCCACAATTAGCTGATCCTGAAACATGTTCATTTGAGAAAGTCATTTCTGTTTCGGGTTCTCGGCCATTTATATAGTGCACATGTCCACGCAACTAGTGCATGCTCAAGGCGCTGGTATTTTTTCCCTCGATCATCGGATCAAAGTATTGGATCATCGTATTATCAATCTCAACACCCTGGGGATGATACAACTCTTGCAGCCACTTGGCGCACCGAGTTATTGTGGCTTTCCCATCCTAACGAGGTACCCATTCACAGCTGGGTGGATTGGGACACACATCGTCACAGTACAGTCCAGTCACATTCACAGTCCAAGTTTACTGCGCGTTGTTGTACCCGCAACTAGGTGTTTGCACGTATTCATGTGGCCACCATCTGGTCATATACCAACGGATTCGTGGGTTCTTTTAAGTGCACAGGGTTGTGTACTATACACTAAGGGTTGTGACAACACTGAAAGAGTCTGCACACAAAGTTGACTCCTAGGTTTTTTTACACCCGGTCACAGGTGGGCTCGATCCAGGCACCTCATGCTCGCTGGATCACAAGCCTGGCGCTTTAGCCAGCTCGCCCACCGCGCTTACTAAAGCCTATTCATGCTGTGTTTTATAGTCCGTAGATGCACGTCTCCATTGCAAGCATCTGAATAGTTATTTCGTCGGACATGAAAATCCAAAAACAAGAAACAAAATTCCAGCTATAGATAGAAAAATAGATTAGAAAAATAATTGAGGCATCCCTGACTGACTCCAGTTGCCGTATTCCGTCAGTCAAATGTTTTGAACTTTACGACATCCGTTAGTTTGTTTATATGTGCAATTACGAAATACGTAGTGAGTGAGTTAGTGAGTTAAGGTTTAAAGTCACATCGGCAATATTTCAGCCATATCGTGACCAAATACAAGTTATAATTTTAGAATAAATAAAGGTAAATTTAAAAAAACTAACTGACAGTAAAACCAACTAGAATATCACAGCTATGAATATAGAACTAGTATGTAAATCTAAAACAGCTTAACTACAGAAGACAATGCAACGTAAAACAGGCTATATATCGCCAACAACTGAAGCTAGATCACCATACTAGGGACCATGGGGACTTACAGTACATTTGATTCCTGCATGGACCCTAGTTGGATATACACCATTCCTTCAGCTATTAGCAATATTAGACACTCTAGCCATAAATTAAAATAACATGTATACTGCGGTTAAAAAGTAGTAAGTTTAAATTGACTTTGAAAGTTTTGGGACTTACGTATCCTCTCAGGAGGACAGTATAATTTTATAGTACTTTAACCCCCTTTGAGGATACGGCCACTAACAGTCTCAGTTGATAATCTAAACTACCAATTATAAAAACATTTATCTATTTCCAAAACATATCAAAATTTATGTAACAATTTTATTTCTTTTTCAAAATCAATTATTAAATGAAAATTAACAGAAGCCAATAGATCCTTAACAGTGTTTACACTGAAATACTTATCCATTGTAAACGACATACGTAGCCCCCCTATTGCTTGTACATGTGTTCGCCCTGTGAAGATCTGGGTTAGAATATTGATCTTCAGTAACCCATGCTTGTCGTAAGAGGCGACTAACGGGATCGGGTGGTCAGGCTCGCTGACTTGGTTGACACATGTCATCGGTTCCCAATTGCGCAGATCGATGCTCATGCTGTTGGTCACTTGATTGTCTGGTTCAGACTCGATTACTTACAGACCGCCGCCATATAGCTGGAATATTGCTGAGTGTGGCGTAAAAATAAACTCACTCACCCACTCCTATACATGTGTTCCCAAGGACCAGTGCCCTGTTTCACAAAGCTATCGTAGCGCTAAGGTGATCGTAACTCCCATGCTTTAACATAGACTTACGACAGTCGTAGCGCTACGATCGCTACGTGAAACGGGCCCCAGTATCGCAAAGCGATCTTAAGGCTAAGGTGATCGTAACTCCCATATTGTAATATGAACTGAAGCAGCTCTCACATTGTTTTGGTGAACCCGGAGAGGACACTGTTCATAATGTTTGTAAAATGTCTCTGCGAGCCCATAAACAGTAACACTGGTAACCTAAATGATCACATATTGTGTCATGGCGCTCTTTCCGTTTTACCAAACTGCGTAAATGACAGAGAGGACGTACGTGCAGCTGTAGCGGGTTCTTCCGGTAGTGTTTGGAGCTCTTCATCAGCCCGGACCAGATGCTGGCCATCCTCGTCTGTAGCGCTCGACTCTGTTCACATCGCCCTGACAGACCCTTGATACCTGTAACCAGCTGTAACAAAGACCGTTTAGCTGTAACAGGCAATCTTTAGCTATAACATACAAAGTTTAGCTGTAACCAGCTGTAGCGAACACCGTTTAGCCGTAACCAGCTGTAACAGGCAACGTTTAGCTGTAAGTAGGTGTAACAAACACCGTTTAGCCGTAAGCACCTATAACAGGCAACGTTTAGCTCTATCCAGCTGTAACAAACACCGTTTAGCTCTATCCAGCTGTAGCAAACACCGTTTAGCTGTAACCAGAGGTAACAAACACCGTTTAGCTCTACCCAGCTGTAACAGGCAACGTTAAGCTGTAAGTAGCTGTAACAAACACCGTTTAGCTCTATCCAGCTGTAACAAACACCGTTTAGCTCTATCCAGCTGTAGCAAACACCGTTTAGCTCTATCCAGCTGTACCAAACACCGTTTAGCCGTAACCAGAGGTAACAAACACCGTTTAGCTCTACCCAGCTGTAACAGGCAACGTTAAGCTGTAAGTAGCTGTAACAAACACCGTTTAGCTCTATCCAGCTGTAACAAACACTGTTTAGCTGTAACAAGCTGTAGCAAACACCGTTTAGCTGGTAGCAGCTGTAACAAACACCGTTTAGCTCTATCCAGCTGTAACAAACACCGTTTAGCTCTATCCAGCTGTAGCAAACACCGTTTAGCCGTAACCAGAGGTAACAAACACCGTTTAGCTCTACCCAGCTGTAACAGGCAACGTTTAGCTGTAACCAGCTGTAACAAACACTGTTTAGCTCTAACCAGCTGTAGCAAACACCGTTTAGCTGTAACCAGCTGTAACAAACACCGTTTAGCTCTATCCAGCTGTAACAAACACCGTTTAGCTCTATCCAGCTGTAGCAAACACCGTTTAGCCGTAACCAGAGGTAACAAACACCGTTTAGCTTTACCCAGCTGTAACAGGCAACGTTAAGCTGTAAGTAACCTGTGTAAATGTAACCAGCTGTAACACACAAAGTGGACATGTAACCAGCTATCATGTATAGCTTTAGTCTGTACTGATGACTTGCATATAAGGTTCGCCATATTTTTTTCAAACAGCTAAAAAATTAAATCAGATCAAACCTCTATCTAAACCCCGACACCTTTACAGTATTAAAAACACATATTTTGGTTCCAAATGAGATAACCCACTTTCTTGACAATGTCTACGTGGTATGTACAATGGCCAGGTTGGCTGGGGTTTCCAGCCTTCCGATCACATTATGTATGGTAGATATACTGAGGTAATGTCTATGACCAGGTTAACGCCGCGATATGGTCTGTCACCTCGATGTCGTCATGGCCGACCTCGGTGTCGCTACATGTCACCAATGTGTTCGTGGTCACCCCTGGCATCGACCTCCTAAATACGTCTGCCGTTAGCACGACCTCTGAACATAAGCCCTTTCTTCTATCATAAGCCCTTTCTTCTATCATAAGCCCGAACTTCTATTATAAGCCCGAACTTCTATTATAAGCCCGAACTTCTATCATAAGCCCGAACTTCTATCATAAGCCCGAACTTCTATCATAAGCCCTTTCTTCTATCATAAGCCCTTTCTTCTATCATAAGCCCAAACTTCTATCATAAGCCCTTTCTTCTATCATAAGCCCTTTCTTCTATCATAAGCCCTTTCTTCTATTATAAGCCCGAACTTCTATCATAAGCCCGAACTTCTATCATAAGCCCGAACTTCTATCATAAGCCCGAACTTCTATCGTAAGCCCGAACTTCCAGCCTGTGCCCATTTTCATAAAAGTCCTCTCTTATAGCAGAAGCCCACTCTCATAACATGAGCGTATTCTCCGATCATACGCTCGTTCTTCTAATATGAGTGAGTGAGTTTAGTTTTACGCCGCTTTTAGCAACATTCCAGCAATATCATGGCGGGGGACACCAGAAATGGGCTTCACACATTGTACCCATGTGGGGAATCGAACCCGGATCTTCGGCGTGACGAGCGAACGCTTTAACCACAAGGCTACCCCCACCACCCCTGATCAAATATGAACATCATTAAAAGTTATTACCTCTTACTTTAAAACCGATCTCCCAAGATAAGCCCTCTGAACCTACCAACGTGCACAGCAGACATCCACTCTCCTGACATGAACTCCCTACCCTAACTTGAGTCCACTCTCAGTATAAACTCACTCTCCTGAAGTAAGCCCACTCTCCTAAAATAAGCCCTCTCTCCCAACATTAGTCCACCCTTCTATCATAAGCCCACTGGGGCGGAGGGGTAGCCTAGTGGTTAAATCGTTGGCTCGTCACGCTGAAGACCCGGGTTCGATTCCCCACATGGGTACTATGTGTGAAGTCCATTTCTGGTGCCCCGCGCCGTCATATTGCTTGAATATTGCTAAAAGCGGCGTAAAACTAAACTCACTCACTCACTCACTCACTCAATATACATGTTTCGATGCGATGACAGTTAATAACACACTGCAAATCATCTGAACATTCATCACACATATTGTGTACTGGATAGTAAAACCCTTGTTTCTAATTTTCATCCCGAATACATAATGGTCTGTCTCATAGCAACTAACTGAGGTCATGACCTGTCGATCTCTGTAACTGACTTTAAATAAATAAATAAATAAATAAATAAATAAATAAATAAATAAATAAATAAAAAAATATAAAAAATGTACTCACTTTTTGCAGTTTAGTGAAATCTTGCCTCGACAGGTTTCTATCATGTGTGATATCTGCAAAAAAGAGGTCCACACGTAATGAAACAATCAAGAAAAAGTCGAAATACATACATAGAACGTCACACTGGATGTTTTGTATTGAACGAGAAGATGTCATGGGAGCAGAGAAACAAGGAGTTCAAAAACGAGTTGTTCCTCTGCTCCCATGAAATCTTCGAGTTCAATACAAAACATCCACAGGCACTTGTATGACCTTCTATATTTATTATATACCCTCTTATCTTGCATTAATCTGTTGCTTAATAAAACAAAGCATATCGCAGCGGTAGGGGTTCAATACGGAATCTGGGGTGCAATACGGAATTTGACCACGTCATCCGTATTACACCCCTGTATTACTATCCTCATTATACATGGGTACAGTGAAACCTCGTTAATCCGGACGGTTGCGTTTCTCAGCAAATTCGTCCGGATTGCGAATAGTCCGGACTACTGAATCAAGACCCAAGTTCAAGCAAGAGTTGCTTCCCCTACTATTACAAAAACGAGACGAATCTGGATAAAACAAATAAGCATTTAATGTAAAGCTTATAAAACAATGAATAGCAAGCACAACAATAATCTATAGTCATAGCAAAAAGTCTTTCATTGTTGTTTGTGTTCGTTTAACCTTCCTCATTGAATTCATCACATGAATAATTTTACCGAGTGACATCCGCATGTTGATCCGACGTGTCTGATCACGTCCTGTATATGATAACAGATACTGGAATTGACACACCTGTCAGGCTTTGGCCATCCCCATACCTCTCTCTGGAGACAATAGTTTTTAAAAGTATATTTCATATACACAAATGCATAAATCGTATATTCGTATCACGTTAATGATACGAGGGGGAGGTGGGTTAGCCTAGTGTTAAAGCGTCCACTCGTCATGCCGAAGACCCGGGTTCGATTCCCCACATGGGTACAATGTGTGAAGCCCATTCCTGGTGTCCCCGGCCGTTATGTTGCTGGAATGTTGATAAAAGCGGCGTAAAACCAGACACACTCACTAATGATACAAGGACGTCTTCATCTAGACGGGTATGGCCTGTATAATTTCAACATGAAAACACACACAACTAAAACTAAAATAAAGTTCATTGCAGCGTCAAACAAACTCACACATTCCCTCACTCGTTCTGCATACTCCTTAAAACAATATCTCCCATACATTCCTCTCATCAACGATCGCTTATGTTCTCTCGAATTTCCCATCTCATACACGTGAAGATCCACGTTAGAACTGATCTTCAGCAGCTCCTGCTTGTAAGATGTGACTAACAGGATCGGGTGGTTAGGCTCGCTGACTTGGTGGATGCATGCCATTATAGATTCATGCTTCTGCCAAACGAGTCCAACTCTCCACCGTATATCACAAAATGTGACTTACTCTCCACCGTATGTCACAAAACGTGACTTACTCTTCACCGTATGTCACAAAACATGACCTACTCTCCCCCGTATGTCACAAAACATGACCTACTCTTCACCGTATGTCACAAAACATGACCTACTCTCCAACGTATGTCACAAAACATGACCTACACTCCACCGTCTGTCACAAAACATTACCTTCACTCCACCGTATGTCACAAAACGTGACCTACACTCCACCGTTTATCACAAAACATGACCTTCACTCCACCGTATGTCACAAAACATGACCTACACTCCACCGTTTATCACAAAACATGACCTTCACTCCACCGTATGTCACAAAACATGACCTACTCTTCACCGTATGTCACAAAACACGACCTACTCTTCACCGTATGTCACAAAACGTGACCTACACTCAACCGTTTATCACAAAACGTGACCTACTCTCAACCGTATGTCACAAAACATGACCTACCCTTCACCGTATGTCACAAAACATGACCTACTCTTCACCGTATGTCACAAAACGTGACCTACACTCCACCGTTTATCACAAAACATGACCTACTCTTCACCGTATGTCACAAAACATGACCTACACTCCACCGTATGTCACAAAACATTACCTTCACTCCACCGTATGTCACAAAAGATGACCTTCTCTACACTGTATGTCACAAAACGTGACCTACTCTCCACCGTATGTCACAAAACGTGACCTACTCTCAACCGTATGTCACAAAACGTGACCTACTCCACCGTATGTCACAAAACGTGACCTACTCTCAACCGTATGTCACAAAACATGACCTACTCTTCACCGTATGTCACAAAACGTGACCTACACTCCACCGTTTATCACAAAACATGACCTACTCTCCAACGTATGTCGCAAAACATTACCTTCACTCCACCGTATGTCACAAAACATGACCTACACTCCACCGTATGTCACAAAACATGACCTACTCTTCATCTTTTGTCACAAAACATGACCTACACTCCACCGTATGTCACAAAACATTACCTTCACTCCACCGTATGTCACAAAACATGACCTACTCTCCACTGTACGTCACAAAACGTGACCTACTCTCAACCGTATGTCACAAAACGTGACCTACTCTCAACCGTATGTCACAAAACGTGACATACTCTCAACCGTATGTCACAAAACGTGACCTACTCTCAACCGTATGTCACAAAACGTGACCTACACTCCACCGTTTATCACAAAACATGACCTTCACTCCACCGTTTATCACAAAACATGACCTACACTCCACCGTTTATCACAAAACATGACCTTCACTCCACCGTATGTCACAAAACATGACCTACACTCCACCGTATGTCACAAAACGTGACCTACTCTCCACCGTATGTCACAAAACGTGACCTACACTCCACCGTATGTCACAAAACGTGACCTACACTCAACCGTATGTCACAAACCGTGACCTACTCTCCACCGAATGTCACAAAACATGACTTACACTCCACCGTTTATCACAAAACATGACCTACACTCCACCGTATGTCACAAAACATGTCCCTCTCTCCACCGTATGTCACAAAACATGACCTACACTCCACCGTATGTCACAAAACATGCCCATCCTTCCACCGTTTATCACAAAACGTGCCCTACACTCAACCATATGTCACAAAACGTGCCCTACTCTCAAATCTATTTGGAAAAACGTGCCTTACGTACGTTCCATCGCATAGCACAGTTGATATTTAATAAAGTTTGTCTCGTCAGCAGTCGAATATTTGCCGTCAGCCTTCGTTATGGAGCGGAATATTGTTGAGTTTGGGGTTCCCCAAAGTGTCACCGACAAATCGTGCCCCATCTGTCCTGTATATGCTAGAAAACGTGCCCTTAAGTTGATGTTAGGTCACCCGACATAAGCGTGTCACTTCGCCCTTTTTCAACAAAAATGTACCCGTATCATCTTCAACCCGCCAGTCAAACGTACGTGAGATTAACAAGCAGCTTATACCCTGATATCTGATCCGAGGATTCCAGGGGAGATTAACGTAACGTCTCGACGGAGGGGAGAGAACAGAACAGCCGAGCAAAATGGCTGACGAAACGTGAAATGTAAATACGTCTACCCGATAGAGTATCCGTTGAACGCTAGATTAACAAGAGATGCTTGAAATAGCTCGGATACACCTGTTGGATTAGTGAAATGTACACAGGGTCACTGATGATTTACGAGAGACGGGGAAAATCGGACAGCGACGGAAGGGGCGTGTATTTGGAAAGGGATATCAAGTACCGACTGAAGTTATCGAGAGGAGAACAAACACTCGACTTTTGAAGCACAGTTTGCTTGTATGTATCTTGGTGGATGGGAACGTTTAATCTCTAACGATCATAAATATTTCAACCCGCTTGGTTTTACTAAGCGTTTTCTAGTGCAAACTAAGAGATTTGACTTTCGCATATGGTAATAACTGGTTGTATTATTAATACATGTATACACAGGGGCTTGTAACGCTAAAAACTGCCATCAAGGCATATACTGTCACTGACGGGGTCTTAGTACTATATAAAAGGATCCTTTTATAGGCCTTGATGGCAGTTTTTAGCGTTACAAGCCCCTGTGCATGTATATACATAATGTGCATAACGCAGCCGATTAACACTATGGTTATACATATTTATATATTAATTTAATAATAGGCATGCTTTTATATGTATTTTAATGTACACTTATGTGAAATCATATTGTGTTTACTTACTATTGCACAAAATGTTAAACGTTTCAGATTGGATGGGATTTATTATTACCAAAATAACACCCATTATTCCTCGGCACGTGTTAAATTGAACAGTCTTACGTAATTTATTACGTTTATTAACATAACATGACGTAAAACCCGGTACATAGGTTGATCACAATACATACCATCATGTCAATATCAGTTTGACCGCCGCGAGCTCGTCACAACAATGCACGGATTAAAGCTGCAGCACGTGCTTTTTTCAGGCAGCTCAGCCACTTGAAATCGACACTGTTTACAAAGACGCTGACAGCCTTGTCAAAACAAACTAAATGATCTTGTTTCCAGCCTAGCGGCAAAAACGTTGAGTCAAAACTAGAATGGGTTTTGCATTAAAATTTACGTAAAACTGTTCGACTGTTTCTTCATTTTTTGAAAACATAATAAAAATATAAAAATATATGCTATTCGCCACATACTGTAAACATTAAATTTGAAACATTACATTAAAGTTATCGTTGTCAGAGGTCGCTACATGACTATCGTGAGTGATGACTGAAAGGTGAGTGAGCGAGTTTAGTTTTACGCCACACTCAGCAATATTCAGGCTATATGATGGCGGTCTGTAAGTAATCGAGTCTGGACCAGACAACCCAGTGATCAACAGCATGAGCATCGATTTTCGCAATTGGGACACAATGGCATGTGTCAACCAAGACACTTCTAACATTTTCTATACATTAAGGAGAAGGGATCAATCAGAAATGAAAGGATTGCTCCTTCAACGTCTGACATCTGCATCACATCGTAGTTAAAGCGTTTGATGATCACATAAAAAACCGGGTTCGATTTCCCAACTGGTACAATGTGTAAAGTCCATTTCTGGTGTCACC